CCACCTGGGCACACTGCTGGCTCACACTCAGCCCACTGTCCATCAGCACACCGAGCTCCCTTTCCATCAGGTAGCTTTCAGCCATTCCTCCCCAAGCCTGCAGGGTTGCTGTGAGCAAAATGCAGGACCCCACGCTTGGCCCTATTGAAACTCACACAGTTGACCTTGGCCCATCCATCCAGTCTGTCCAGGTCCCCCTGCAGTGCCCTTCTCCCCTCAACGCTCCCTCCCGACTTGGTGTCATCTGCAAACTTACTGAGGGTGCACTCAATCCCCTCGTCCAGATCATTAATAAAGATGTTAAATAGGAGTGGCCCCAGCACTGAGCCCCGGGGGACACCGCTCGTGACCAGCTGGATTTGACCCCATTGACCACAAGTCTTTGTGCCCAGCCATCCAGCCAGCATTTCACCCAGCGGGGCGTGCGCCCAGCCGAACTGTGGGCAGCCAGCTTCTCCATGAGAACGTTGTTGGGGACAGTCCTGATGTTTGGGACCGGATGATCTTGAAGGTCTTTTCCAACCCTGGTTCTTCTGTGACAGTGTCAAAGGCCTTACTGGAGCCCAGGTAGATCACATCGACAGCCTCACCTCCATCCACTAAGCGGCTCACCTTTCCATAGAATGAAATCAGGTTTGTCAGACAGGATGAGGTTCCCCCTTGTCCTGGTGCTGGACGCACCGAGCAGAGCCTGACCCCCTCCTCCTGACCATCATCCATCCATCAGCACTGCTCAGATCCCCCTCAGCCTTCTCTCCACCAAGTGAATGGGCTCCCAGCCTTCAGCTTCAACTCATTGCTCTACATTCCTCCCATCACCAGGACAGCTTCCCCAACCTCACCTCCCGCACGCCAGGCTGAGCCCGGCGGCTGCACTGTGCGTGTTCCACTTGCCCCAAGCTCAGAACCTCAGAATATTCCTATCCCTACAGAAATACACAAAAAATGGAATAAAACATCTTCTTAGATGCACATCATTAAATGCAGATGGCCAGGAAGGATCAGCTCCGCTCTTTCCGTGCCCCAGCCCAGGCAGTAGGCAGAGGATGGGCAGAGCTGCTCTGTGTGTCCCCAGGGCTCCCGGCGCTTCCAGGAGGAGCTCCAGAAGCACTGATTACAAAAGCCCACAGTGTGATGTCCCTCACCCCGACCTCCTAATGCTTCTATAATCACACCATGCCCCTGCGTAGCAAGCTCCCGAGGCAGTGAATTCCAGAGCTAACTGCAGGGAAAAGCACCATCTCATCCTGGTTTTCAATTTGCTTGCCATTAATTCCACTGCACACTCTTTTTTCTTGGTGCCACGAAACAATCAGAAGTTCCCTATTTCCCTCTCACAAGCCGTTTCATATTCCCAATATTTTTAACTTTTTTTCCTCCCATCCGTGTCGTTTCTAAGGTAACAATCCCGCTCTCCTAAATCTTTCTTCAGAGCAGAGGATCTTTTCATGGCTATGAAATTCCTGGCGATGGTTTTCATGGTGTGCATGGAGCTCAGTGTGTCCCCAAGCACTCACAGGTGCCAGAACAGTTTCTGACCACAGCACCGGGCTGTTCCCATCTTCCTCCACCACCTCCTGCAGTGATGTGGTCACCACACTTTGTTCTGAAGCTCACACTGAGCAGAGCTCCCCAACGAGCTGCATAGGAAACAACCTGCAACCTCGCTCCAGTTAAACTGTTAATTAGGAATCCTACTGACGACCCGTGTCGTTCAATTCTTTGGTTCCTCTCGTAGCTATTTTGCATTTATTCTCCTTATTTTTCATTTACTGACATGCTTCTGTTTCCCGGATTCCTTCAGATCACCTCCAAGACTCTCCAAGCTGTATCTGCATGGTGTTTAATGTAAAGAGCTGCCACCTGCAGAGGGACTCTTTGCTGCCCAAGCCTATTCCCTGCTTGCTCATTAGCAAGCACAGGGACAGCCCACAGCTGGCACCCACTCTTTGGTCTCCACACAGTGTTGGAGTTTCCCACTGCACCCCCCAGCACACGTTGCTTTACACCAGGCATGGCTGCAGTTCACCTCTCCAACAGAGGATTTCATTAAGTAAAGCCTGAACCCAGCCTACACCAAGAAGCCTTCTCCTCAACTCCTGCTCTACAGCAGCACTTTACCAGGGAGGTCTCTGCCTTAAATCAGCCCTCGTGCCCTGGTTCCACCCAGAGGCAGAGCAGCAGCAGAGCTGGAGTTGGCGCTCATGGTCACTGGGTGACAAGGGCGCAGCAGGACAACAAAAGTCACGGCCACATGGATGGGCCATTGCTATCTCTATACCACAGTGAGTGTTGGTGCTGTGCTGACCCACCAACGGGAGCGTGGCCATGCCCACCAACTGCTCCCAGGCCCAAGTGGGTTCAAGAGAGCAACCACCTGTAGGTATGCAGGAGGCAGTGACAGCCAGGAGCCGGCTCGGACACATACAGGGCCAGCTTTTCTGCAGTATGCCACCTCCAAGTATTAGTTTTCAAGATGCATTCATTGTCATGGCAACAACAAGCACAACATGGAATCGATGTACTCACCATTCTTTTGAGACGCAAAATTAGACTGAGGGATGGGGAGAAGATTGAAGCAGCCCCCACTGTGCTCATGCCAAGCCTTGAGCATCCCCCTCTCCATGCACCGCTGGGACGTGTTGGTGCCAGCCTGTGTCCCACCACTGCTCCCATGGGTGCCAATGCACACCACGGCCACGGCACAGCCCAGTCCCACTGTGCCCACCCAGCTCTCACCTGGCCTTGCCACGGCTGCTCCTCCGGAGCGTGGGAAGGTCGACCTCCTTCTCCTCCTGCACGCGTTGCAGGGACGGGGAGCGGCTGTGGGCGCTGCGGGCGCTGCCGGAGCTGGCCAGGCTGCCATCCCCACCACCGACCCCCACCGCAGCCTCCTGCATCTGGGCCAGCAGCTGGGGGGGGAGGCTGCGCAGGGAGGGCACCGGAGAGTAGGACGCCCGGCTCTCTGCCTTCAGGTTGTTGTCGCTGGCCGAGCGCTGCAGCATTCGAGGGGAGGAGAGGCCGCCGGCACCGAGGATCCGTCTCCGCTTCGTGTAGCTGGGAGTTTCTCTGAAAGGCACTGCAAAAGAGGCAGGAAAGGGGCATTAGGGATTGGGTGTGCAGAGCAAAGCCGGGTGGTGAGTGGTGGGGCATTGGGATGGGAAGCTTTGGGAAGTGGTGGAGTCACTGTCCCTGGAGGTGCTCAGGAAAAGGAGTAGATATGGCACCTGGGGACATGGCCAATGGGGATGGTGGGGATGGGTTGGGGTTGGACGGGGGATCTCAGGGGTCTTGTCCAGCCTTATTGATCCTGTTATTCTATGGCCATGCTGGGGCAGGAAGATGGTAGCAGAGAAGGAGCACGGAGATATGATAGGAATTGTCATAGAATCATTGAGGGTTTGAAGGGAACTCAAAGCCCCTCCGCCCCACCCCTGCCGTGGGCTTGGTGCCCACCACCAGCTCAGGCTGCCCAGAACCCATCCATGGCCTTGAGCACTTGCAGGGATGGGGCACCCACACTCTGGGCAGCAGTGTGCCAGGACCTCACCATCCAGGAGAGGAGGCACATCCTTATGGGAGCACAGGAAGAGCCGGAACAGACAAGGATAGGCTCCATCTGTTTGCAGCTCCCTGCTTCTCAGCATGGCACACGGTGCATGCTTCTCTCCCAGGGAACAGCCATGGGCTGGGAGCACAAGGAGTGGAAGAGTTGCATCAGGAGGGTTTGGAGGCAGCATTGGGGAGGCACCAAAGAGTCCTCAGTGGGGCCAAAGCCATGGTGAGGGTCGGGGCCACCAGTGGGACCCCCTGCAGCCCACAGCCTGGCCCAGAGGTGGGCACATGCACATGGTCACTGGCAGTGATCCTGGCCACCAGTTACTCCTCAGTTCTGGAGGTAAGCCTGCCCTTCCTGCCCCTTTTCCCAACCCTTAGCAGTGTCTGGAAGAAGCGGACTGCACAAAGCCACCTGGAGATGCCAAATCCCACCTCTGCCAGCAGCTCTGCAGAGGGAGGATGACTGCACATGGAATTTCGCACAGCCACAGAGGGCTGAGAGCCGTGCTGCAGCCATGGCATGTGTGCATTGTGGAGCCCAAGTGATGCAGACCTCGGGTCAGGAAAGACACATTTTTCTCAATGAATCTGCTCTCATTCTGAAGTTCAGTGTGCTTAAAGCAAGCCTCGCATCTGTGGCAACCTTCAGCAGGGAACACATCGTCAACAACATCCAGCTCACTTCATCGCATCACAGAACATCCCAGGTTGGAATACCCACAAGTATCACCAAATCCAACTTCTGCCCAGGGCAGTGAGGATCCCCATCCCTGGAGGTGCTCAAGAACCTTGTGGATGTGGCACATGGGGACACGGTCGGTGGGGATGGGTTGGGGGTTGGGTTTGGGAATCTCAGAGCTCACACTCTGCTCCATCACTGAGTGCCTGAGTGCTCCCAGCACTGCTGCGCTCAGAATATTTTCCCAAGGAGCATTTTAGGTTCAAAGCACAACAATTTCAGGCTCCTGTAAACCTTCCTGCTGCCATGGCAACTCGATGTGTTTGTTCCCTGATGTTCCAGCCACGTGGAGGGAGGATTTCTGCTGGCAGTGCTGTGCCCTGCATCCACAGGGCAAGGGGGACAAAAGGGGAACCCAAAAGCTACAGAGATGGCCGATGGAAAGAGGAATGGTCCAGGACGTGTAAAACGTGCTGTGGATTCAGGTGTGGGAGTCTGCAGGACTCCAACCTACGTTCACTGCCATCAACACAACACAAGGGAGTGAAGTTGAAGTCAGGGCGAACGGCCGCTCTCCCAGTGGTGACACTCAATGTGCTGGGCTGACAGGGGCTGCCCTGGATCTGTGTGTTATCCCGACGTGACAGACCACCAGGAGACATTTAATTCTGTACTACATTACCGCTCATAGGAAAACACTTTAATAAAATCAAAGAAGCAAATAGGAAATGGGTGCACGTCACAGTAACTGACAGGTTTAAAAATTATCAGAAATTGGAGAGAGTCGCAGGAAATGCAGGGAAGTTCCACGCTGCTCTCAAAGATCTGTTGTCAAACCAAAGCAATCTGTGTCCTTCAAGCACGGCTCTTGAAATAAAGGCACAGAGTTACTTTTACTAGAAGTGCTGTACACTGACTGAGGATGAAAGCCATTGGCTTGAACATCTTTCACAGAATCATAGAATCACAGAATCACAGAATGGCCCAGGTTGGAAGGGACCTCAAGGATGATGAAGTTCCAACCTCCCACCACAGGCAGGGCCACCAACCTCCACATTTCACAGCAGCCCAGGCTGCCCAGGGCCCCATCCAACCTGGCCTCGAACACCTCCAGGGATGGACGGGGCACCCACAGCCTCTCTGGGCAGCTCACCATTCTCATAGTAAAGACACCACAAAGATGATCAGAGGGCTGCAGTGCCTCCACTACAAAGACAGGCTGAGGGAGCTGGGCTTGTTCAGCATGGAGAAGAGAAGGCTGTAGGGTGAATCACTGCAGCCTTCAGGACCTCAAGGGAGCCTACAGACAGGAGGGGAGTCAGCTCTTGGAAAGGGGAGATAACAGCAGGACAAGGGGAAATGGTTGGAAGTTGGGGGAAGGAAGATTTCAGTTGGATGTGAGGGGGAAGTTGTTTGCTGTGAGAGTGGAGAGGTGCTGGAACAGCTGCCCAGAGAGGCTGTGGATGCCCCGTCCATCCCTGGAGGTGTTCAAGGCCAGGTTGGATGGGGCCCTGGGCAGCCTGGGCTGCTGTGAAATGTGGAGGTTGGTGTCCCTGCATGGCACAGGGTGGTTGGAGCTTCGTCATCCTTGAGGTCCCTTCCAACCTGGGCCATTCTGTGATTCTGTGAACCTGTGATCATAGAACATCCGCAATTGGGAGGGGCTCATAAGGAACACGATCTCCATGAAAACAAAAACAAAAACAAAAATCTAAAAAAAAACCAACATTGTTAGCATTCAAAATAAGAGGAGTTTAGAAAAAAAGAAAAGAAAAAAAGCAAGCAGTGACTCATCTTGCAAGGGAAGAAAGCAGCAACATCTGGCAAAGACCCTTCTGGGCTGTGTGAGATCTCTGATCTCTGCTCTCTGCAAGCACCAGCTGTTATCAATGGGACACAGACAGGGTGCTGGAGGGCTCACTGGCAAGAGGGAAGGCACTTTGATTTCTGCCATAGGGCAGTGTGAGTGCTTTAATGTGTCCTGTCCCATTAATCACCCATTTCCACGTGCTGCACAAGAGCGCCCATCACTGTGCACATTCAGATTGCCTGCTCTCAGCACCAAAAAATCACATCCACCCCAAAAACAAAGGGAAACACGGCCCCACATCTCAGCCTCACACCAGTGGGGCTTCAGAAAGCAGCTCTGCTGCTCACAGACCCACTTACAGAGCACCAAACACAAATGTCCCTGAGGCACTGCATGGCATTCACAGCAGCAAACAAGAGGTTTCCAGGTCACATCACAGACTGCAAAGCCAAAGCTTCCTGAGCACTGAACTCCATCAGCATGCCCTGAGAACAGCAGTCCAGCTGCAGTTCAGTCTCCTGAAGGACAGGAGGGCACCTGCAGTATCTGAGCGATTTCAGTGAAGCCCCAGAGCACAGTAACTGCATGCAAGGTGAGACTGAGACAGCTCCCTCCATTACCAAAGTGTGATTTAGGGGTAAGGGAGTCAGGAAACCAAAAACAGAGCAGAAAAAAAAAAAGATTTTCTATTACTAAAAGCAGAGGCTCTCTAATGATGTACATGTAGGCTGTGAAGCACCTTTGGCTCCCAGGTGCCTCCTGAACATGGCAACTGCAGGCTGGGACCTGGGCACCTGTCATGGAAAGCTCAGGGCTCAGCAAAACCCTAGGAGGTCCCACAACTCAGGCACTGCTGGAGGACACTTCATTTGCTCCAGCTTCAGTGCTTCAGTCTGCAGCCCAAACTGTGCTGGGGCTCATTTCGGGATCACTGTGCAGCTGCAGAGAAGTCAATGATCCAGGGATGATGGCACCTGCTTAGCAAGCCTGGCTTTAACTCAGAATGCAGAGAAGCAGGCGTGCAGGCTGCAGGAGGAGGAGGAGGGCAATCAGAGGAACACGGCTATCGCTTGTACAAAAGATATAGGGCTCTTCTCCAGAGGTTCACCAAAGCCCTCAAATGTGTGTGCCTCCATCCACACTGTGCCATGCAGGTACAGTGCAAGCCCGGGGCTGCTCTCAGCAGAAATCAGACACGTTCAGAGGCACAAAACTACACTCAACTGTGCAGCAAGATGGAGACAGAACCTGGTGCACGTGGCAGAACTGTGAATAGGACGTTGTATTTTGGGCAGAAAGGACACGAGAGGAACCCGTATTGCATGGGGGGAAATCCATGAAATGGACTCCAAAAGGAAACAGCAAACAGTGGAGGCAGTCTGGTGTTGAAGGTTGCTATGGGTGCACCCATTTGCACAAGAAAGTCTGTTAGAAAATCAGCACTTGGAAGAGACATTGTCACAAGGACAGCACAGGCAGCAGGAATGTGTCCAGGGTCATTGCATGCACAGGGCAGTGCAGGACTCGGATGTGTGTCCACGAAGGCTCCTTCCTGCACGGGAAGGCTGTGATGCTCCATGCTGCACACAATGGTGTCCCATCACTCTTGGGGACGTGGTCAGCGGGCGCAGTGGGACGGGGTGGGAATCTCAGAGCTCTTTTCCAATCTCAGTGAGTCGATGAAGCTGTAACAGGGAGAGCTGCTTTGCCTTGGCTTGCCAGGGGAATCCCTCACCAGGAGGCTCTGCCACGCCACAAATGCCTCAAAGCACAGACTGACACAGGGAGCCAGCTTCTCACTGCACCCAAACCACCTGAAATGGGTAATAACAACAGGGAAGAGCTGAGCCCAACCTGCAGCCAGCAGGTGCAGGCATCCTGCTCCAAGGAGGGCTTCCTCCCCCCAACCCCAGGGAGGAAAGGAGGGAAGCGAGAGCAATAAAGGCAAAACTCGGTGCAGTTCGTACAATCAGCTTTGAAGATTCTTTTCTATACCTTCTCAAGAGTTTAATCAAAGTGTGTTTACTGGGGA